ATGTCATCTTTTCTCGCAGACTTCTGCCGCCAATTTCGCTCATTCCAGCACCAAACTATATATATAAATAAAATAAAAGATCCCAACCTTCATTTTTTAAAAAATGAATAAATTCTGCAATGTCAGATTCTAAATTCATATTACCTCTAAAACTATTATTGTTCTGCGCTTCACAAACTTTTTGTTTAATGTTTGAAACATCCTTTCATTTTAACTCTTTAACATTTGCACCCAAATCCAACTTCCTAGTTGCAAAATCTTTGATCGCACTCACAATGGTAGGTGGCGGATAGTTCTTGGCTGCCTCTTCTTTCACTAATTTTCGAACTACATCCGAATGCTTTAACACTTCACTTTCCTCAAGTGTGTATGTATGGTCAATGCTGTTATTGTATCGTTCAATTTGCACTTTTTGTGCACCAACAAAACGCAACACCCAGATTTTTGCAGAGCACAGGGTGGGAGGATAGATTTTTGTCTTCCTACGCTTTTCAAGAGGGATCTCTTCCTTTCAACTACTTGAATGGTTATGTTTCATAAGCCTGCATGCAAAAGCTTTCCAGAAATTACCGTTAGCATGATTTTTGTAGCTAAACCTGGTCCAAATGTTTGAAACAAGCAGCCACCATTCATTATCAAAATCATGCATTGAAACTTCAAACGGCTCACCAACATTGAAGAGAAGTGCACGTCTTTTATTAGTGGTTAAGGATTGAGACATATAAAATTTAAGCGCGACCTCCCTGTTTTCCTCAAGCATAGCATTTTTTTTTTTCAAATGCGGTCTCTTCATATTCTTTAAACACGGCTTTTTCATTTTCCTCAAACTCTACACTTCCATTTTTCTCAACTTCTACACTTTCGCTTTTCTTATATACAACATTTTCCGTTTCTACAAGTACGGCATCCTCCTTTTCTACAAATATGCCTTTGTTTTCCACAAAAAAATTACTCATGTAATAAAAATATATACTAGTATAATATATTGGCCTCTTACTATAATTAAAAAAAATCAT